TATAGTCAAGAGAATTTTCTACCTAGCGCATTCTAAACTAAGATTTTATAGATGAACTGTGATAGTAAGGTTCCTAAAAAGACTGACCATGGTAGTTTTCAGATTCTACCAGACAAAGCAACATCTAGTTTTAAACAACATCATTTTCAAGAACACAGCACTTTAAAGAAAATAAGAATCACTGCTTTTTGTAGGGCCATCCGTTAAAAATTTAAAAGCATCACAAAAACGAACTACAACTGTTTTAGCGTATTTTTCGATAAGTGTCGCTGTTTTATAAATTTGTTCATACTTCTAAGTTTTCGAGCAGAAGTCACAAAAAATGTGAAGACCTTCATTTTGTTTAGAATTTCGTATTCTTGAAAACGACATCCGAAAAACGCAAGTAAATTTAGCAGCGGATTCGAGTTTTTTGAGAAAATTTTTGCCCACTGACTTGTGCCAAAAAACATCTTTGTTGTGCCAGATAGAGCAGCGAATATACTATGGAATACCCAGCTTTCGAAAAATTTTCATCCTGAGGAACGACCGAAAAATTCGAAAAGCTGTTTTCAGCGCACTGATCTTTCGTCAAAAAATCACTATTTCCACCTAATACTCATTTTGCAAGCTGTGTCAGTTAAAAAAACACTCGTGTCAGATAGAACTCCAGGAGATCTATCGATTCGCACTAAATTTTCCCATGTTCATCATCATGGTCCAACCCCAGGAGAACAGCAAATGGCTATAGAGGGATTTCCGACCACTATTAAGCCCAAATATTGATTTTGAGAGTTGTGCCGATTGAGAAAGCACGTATGTCAGGTAGAACTCGGCGAGATTTATCGATTGATAATAAATAAAGGACGATCTAAGCTAGGAATCAAGTAGCACGGGGTTAGCAACTCGCGGAACCAGACATTGAGACCCGAATAAATATTCGCTGAGCCGCTTCTGCCAACTGTGAAATCATCTGTGTCAAATTGAAGTCAATGAGACCTATCGATTGATACCAAATAAACCATGATGAAACTCAAGGATCAAGTACAATGAGTTCAGAAACTATCGGAACCTGGTCTTCAGACCCGTGACCGGAGTAAATATTCGCTCAGATAGCTGTGCCACCCGTGAAATCATCTGTGCTCGACAGAAATTAACGAGTTCTATCGATTGACACCGAATTGACAGCAATCCTAACAGATTAACAGGTACCCTGGGGAAGTAGCTGCGTGAACCTAAACTCAGAAGCCATTATCCGAGCAAAGATTTCCTGCCACAATTGTGACGCTCGTGCAACTGCCCGTATCGGATAGAAATCGATGGGTGTGGGTGTAGAGAATATTCATACCTACACCCACCCGCATCCACACCCTCGTTGTTTGATTAGATTGGCAAACTGATGTGTCGATGATAAACATTGTTTCAATAAAGTGTCACGTTCTCCATAATTCTCTTGAATATCTCGTTCCAAATTAGTATTAGATGAACGAAGAGTAGTGATTTGAGAAGTTGATTGTTTCAATTCTTCTTCTAATGCAAATATTCGTTTATCTCTCGAATCTTGTTGTATTTCAATCAATGTTTCATATAGTTCGATTTGTAATTGATACATTTCAATATCAGAGTTGAAATGTATTTTTTCATTGTTCAATGTTATACAATTGAAATGTAGTGATTGATAATGTTCATCCCATAATACATCAATATTATTAAAACATGATAAATTGTCTCGTAAATTTGTAATATCATTTATATATTTTGAATGATCTGATTGTAAACGTTGAACATGTTCAGTAAATAATTAAAGACGTTGATTTAATCCAGTAAGAGTATCTTTCTCATGTTCATACTGCGCTCGAAGATCAATTTGAACTTGCTGATTATTTACCGATGGTACTTTTGGAGAATGAACAGTAGATAAAGATTGGATATCATGACGATTATCTGTAACAATTGAATTATTATCGATAGTATTTTTTTTTAATTATGCTGAATTTTATTCGTGACATCCATAATTTTTTTTGGGAGATTTTTTTACAATTTTTGTGGACGCTTACGAATGTATGCAACGGACAGGATAATGATAACAAACAGAGAAAGAATACAAAGAAATGAAAACGAACAGAATGAAAATCGAATTCGA